CTCCAGTTGTGTGGTAAAACAGAACAACAAACGATATTCTAAGGATAGACTGTGATAGTTTTTAAGCGATTAAAAGATACTATTGAAATATAAACTACTAAATTCTAATTACTCGAAGTTGCTTTGCATTCTATTCTATCATCGGTGGCATTAGAATTTCAGCTAAATTTCGGAGTACCTGTAATGTGTAATTTCAATTATGTCGAAACTTCTAATGACTGAGCGCAAAATCAGACTCTTCGTAATAACCAAAAGTTACTTTTTGGATCTTTCTCTATCATCACTTATCCTCTCAGGCGTGAGCTGTGCTGTTGATAATTATTAGCCATTCAGTTAGTCGTATGGTCCACAATGTAGGTTTATGTTTAGAAATATGTACATATGGAATGAARGTGTGGACTGATATCACTCCCTCTTGGTAAAATTCAACATTGAGTCTAATTCAAATCAATTTCATCCCCTTCAAAGTAATCCCACTAGATGTAGTACATTATGCCAACGGATTTTCCAATCTTCGAAACACTGGTTGTAGTCACTTTCCGGGATGGCCTTCAGTTCCGTCTTCGCTGCGGCTTGAATATCGTATAAAGACGGTGTTCCCGGAGCGCTCTTTTGTGCTTGGTGAACAGCCAGAGGTCGCACGGCGCCATATCAGGGKAATACGGTCCTGTCATTTAAGCTTAAATTAGGTAAGAATCTCGGAATTCGAGATACCCAGCTCTAAGTCTGTAAWTATTGTATATTGGGTATCTCGAATTCCGAAGTGAACTTACTATAGTGACTGGACTAGGTGGTTGCGGAACGATATGGGTTGAGTTTTTGGCGAAATGATCGTTTAATGTCTTTGCTCAACAAATTTCGACATCGCAAAAAACGAAAAACTCACTTTTAGCAGCTCCCAAAACGACACGTATCTCAAAAACTAATGAATATTTTGACATGAACTTTGACATACTTAAATGCGACTGACAGTACTACCAACCTAAAAATAATAATTCTCCAAATCCTTCGACGCGCGCAGTTTAAAGTCAAATGTCACCATATTTTTTGGGCACAGTAGTATACTGGCATCCATATTTCAGGTAAAATTTATTGTTTCAAAGTTTGCGAAAACATTTATTAAACCAGGTTTCAGGGCACTATCACTAAATAACATATAACTCGCGAATAAGACTACATCAAATCCAATTCATTGTGGAATTAGGGAACTGTTGATTGAAGCATTTCATTGAAGAAAGAACAGACTAACAGATGCTATGTTCGTGAAGATATCTTTCGTGCAGACCACCTGTCGGCTAGCCTCTCCCTAGTAATGGCGCTTTGCCCGGGTCATTGCCCTATAGCGTTCACGCAGTATGGCGTCTGGAATCCTACCACCCCCTGCAGAAGATGTATGATAAGGTGGAAACAACACTTCCTTCTTGACTGTCCCGCGTTTGGAAGAATGTAGACATATGTAGAACTTCACGCAAGTGAGAAAAGTTCTCTGAGCGCTATTCACTTTGGAGTAATCAGAAATAATTATTTTTCATATGGCTCAGGCAGCTCACGACTTCTGGTGTTAGACGATGTATCCTCTGTTTAAGCAAAGAGCACTCGTTTGAAGGCGAGCTAAAGTGAGCAGAATACATCGTCGTCCAAGAAGTGCGACGGATGGTACAAACATTGAGCCGACTAGGTCCTTTTGGCATTTACTACAGTGGCCATATAAACAAGCGCAAATCCGGTGTGGGATTCGTGGTGGGAGAGAGACTCCATCGTCGAGTCCTAGCATTCCCATCGAAGGATGAACACCTAGCCAAAATCCGCATCAAATCGAAGTTCTACAATATATCACTGATTTGCGCCTACTTCCCGACGGAAGAGAAGGACTCAGCTTCCATGAAACATCCCCAAATGGATTGAGGCTAATCGACTTCGCCAGGGCCCGGAATACGGTTAAACCGGATACTGTATGAAGTAAATATATATACAACGTTCCTTTCTAGGTACTACAAATTTTCGGGCACTTAATACAGGTAAGTTCAGGTGTAATGAGATAAAACTAGAGAAATAAGAGAACTAAGAAAAGTTGTTGTAGACCGCTCATTAACTTTCGTTACTTCCTAATTATTTCTTATTACTACCGAATAATCTCGTAAATATTAATACCATCAAAGATAGAATAGAATGCAAAGCAACTACGATTAATTAACAGTAAGTCGTTTATATTTCAATAGTATCTTTTAATCGCTTAAAAACTATCACAGTCTATCCTTAGAATATCGTTTGTTGTTCTGTTTTACCACACAACTGGAGCGGGGGCGGCAGCGGCATAACGCAGAGTTGGTGCGTACGCGGGGGCGTAGGAGAAGGCAGCAGGGGCAGCGTAGGATGCCAAATGGGCAGGATAAGCGAAGGGAGCAGCAGCGTARCGGGCCAAAAGTGGTGCGGGAGCGGCAGCGTAGCGTGCGATCAAAGGTGCTGGAGCSGCAAGAGGGGCAATTGGTGCGGCCAATGGAGCAGCGGCTACTGGGGCGACAACCTTAGCGACTGGAGCGATGGGTGCAATGGATGCCTGGGCGACTACTGGAGCGAATGCGATGCCATTGTGGTTGCGTGCGACAACTTGACTGCTGGTGGCGGTGATGATAGGCGCCGGAGCGGCGACGGCCAACGGAGCAGCAGCTAGAATGTGAGGTTTAGCGGCAGCGCAGGCGATGGCAGCGAAGATGACAACAGCCTAGAAAAGTTACACAGATATACATATTTTTTATTAGTTTTAATGATTCACTAAGAAGTCGAACGGGATCGCTTACGTATTTGAACATTTTGAAAGGTTTTTTGTTTGATTTCTTCTGACTACTCGAGCTGTCTTCACGTTGAGCTGGCGAATGTTTTTGATAACTGCTACCGGTATGCTCATGCTTTTTATAGCAAACTAAGGTGTTTGACCAAAACTGTCTTCTCAAGTCCACGGTCTGTACTGTAGAGGGTTTGTCCCTGAAGAAACTTCATCACGTACTCAACGAAATAAACATACCACAGTATAAAAACTGTCTTTCTTCAGCCAGCGTTTTGTGTTTTCCCTAAAACCAAACATGTATCTGCGACGCTACTTGAATATGCAGCGTCGGTAGCGGCTTTGTGAAGACTGGCGTACAAATATACATACGAATGTGTGTGTAGAGGCGAAATGTTGTCAAACATTATTTATGGAGTTAAGTTGTCTTTACTGAAGTTACAAGTCATGGAAGGTAAACCATTATTGGTGAACTTGGCCATGAAAATGTGATAATGCCGGCAAATTTCTAGTGCTCAAGAAAGGAATAGTTGGAGTGTTTGTCAGTAAATATTTGGAAAGCATTCAGTGGAGCTGTCGCTTTTTGTAGCCGGTAAAGTTGGTTATTACGGCCGTCTGCCTCTTTATTACTTAGGATTGTGCGAACAAGTTTGTATATTTGGAATATCTAAAAAAAATAGTAATCGGGAATCTTTTGTGTCGTCAAGTACGTCCTTTGAAGACATTGTCCGATTTCGAAAATAAATTTTTCTRTTGCCAATACTTCTTGTACGATTCATCAGTCAATCTGAGACCTCGAAAAAAATAAGTCCCATATACCGGAATATTTTCGTATTTCCAAACAATAAACCGCTAGGAACTAGGTATGAAAAGTGCGACCTAACAACCAAAACAGACACTAGTATCCGACATGAATTCTTACGACAGAGAATTACAGGGATTGTGTCAATAAAAAAAAAAAAAAATAGTTGAACAATTCTTTAAAAACTTTCAAAATAGGCTCCTTCTGCGTCGATGTAGCGCTGAAAGTGCGATTTCCAAGCATTGAAGGCATGATGGAAGTCATTCTCCAGAATAGCCTTGAAACCCGAGGGGCATCCTACTTGGATCCCCTCTGTCGTCTCAAAGTGCTTGCGTTTCATCAGCTTTTTCAGTCAAGAAAACAAAAAAAGTCCAGATGCCCCATCTGGGCTGTAGGGCGACTGCGGAAGCGTTGGGATGCCGGCCTTGGTTAGGTAGCTGTTCACAAGAAAGGCGGTGTGAGCCGGGGCGTTGCAGTGGTGCAACTSCCAATCGGCTGCGAAATCTTGTCGAATCCGATTGTCCCTTCGCTTGAGTCTCTTGAGGACTTCCATGTAAAACTTGGTCTTGACGGTTTGTCCAGGAGGAACAAATTCTTGGTGGACGATGCCTTTGTTGTCCAAAAATGAGCAATGAGCATCGTTTTCACTTCGGATTTGCTCATTCACTAGCGACCTCTTCTCGGAWCTCTAAAAAGGCCTGGTGCCACCGAAACACACCACTTCTTGCTAAAATAACTTCAGGGTAAGCCTCTTTGATCACATCAAAGCTCTCTGTCGCAGATATACCGAGTTTCACTCAGAATTTAATCGCGTACCTCTACTATTAGCTAGGAACGCCCTCTACCAAATCCTGTGGGTGCGCGCTCCGAAGTAATGTCACGGGGGAAGAAAATCAGTCCTATTACTTTCCGAACGAACTTTGTAGGTTATGGTTGGTCAACTAATCCTGGGTCATTACATCCTTCAACATGTAATATGCTCCGAATTGCGTTGTACTACGATTAAATATTCACTGATTGTGCTGATTTTGAGTTGGAGGGGCTAGTTTGTGTMCATGTGTGTTGCTGGCAAGCTTGTCGTTACAATTTCTCGCGGATAGTGGCGTGGCAAACGCTTTTCGACCAAATTCAAATGGAATCCAGTTGAAAGACTGTTTTGCTTGGGGCTCATATTGGGATTTAACAGATTTATAAAGGACATTAAATGATGGCACCCTTTGTTTCTTTCGACTTAAAAAGCGAAGTTACACACCCGAAATCCTTAGAGGATTCGAAMAGCAAATATTTCAAACTCGACATCTAACTAAGCAATAAATGTAACTTCGAAACATMGTTKGCGAACTTCGAACCWCGAATTATKAGTTATATCCTTGTAAGCACATCGAAATTGTGAATTCGTATTTATAGCAGTGGAAAGTTCGAAACGAGACAAATAGTTCTGATGCTGGCTATCTTTGAATTCTTCAGTGCTGAATTCGAAGAGTTCGAAAATTTTCGTTTSCGAAACGCAGTTCCTASAAAAATTTATGGTTCGGCATTCGAAAGTCTGTGCACGATATATGCCGCTACGATATAACACATTTTCACGCATCCTTTTTATGGCCACGTGGCGGAATGAACTGTGAGCCCACGATTCAGTGCCATGAATTGAACTGTGGAAGTCACTCAATTTCGACCAGATGAACGTATGAATAGTGGACTCCGATTTTTTTGATATACACACTGCCCACATTGCCTTAAATGCACGCTCGTGTGTATGGTTGTGTGTGTGTGTAAGTGTGTTTGAGCAACCACTACAACGCTGGCAGCTTCTGCGCGCTACACAACTTAGTCAACACGTTTTAATTGCTTTCACAAGCAACCCCCTTTTTAAATGATTTTTTATTCCTGCAATATTAAAATCTATATGTTCGTATGCACGCATGTGTGTGTGTGTGTGTGTGCACATGCCAGTGCATAGAATTGTAGAAAAATTATAAATACATACAATAAAGTACAATGAGGATTTTCGGTATGCTGCTTGGATGCTTCAAGCCGTTCTGTCAAATTCTGAAATGCAACAAACTTTACTAACGGAACATTGTYTCGCTAGCCGGCATATCCAAAAGTGTACTCCCACTCGCCTGTCCACAACTACACGCAGCCGCCCGTGGGTGTGTGTGGAYGCAAATTCACGTGTTTGTGCTGGTGTATTTCCGGCGTGTGCATTTCAAATCCTTGAAACTAAATCAAATTTTAGAAAATAAAATGAAAGAGGGAATTAAATATCAAAAATGCTTCAATTTACCACAAACTCGTCTCAGCATGGAGTATTAATTTAATTTTACTTTCGTTATTTTGCCRAAATCTTTTACTTTATAAGCAAAAYTCATCGAGTGTCTAACATTCTAAATTGACTTGAGTTTTGCTTTGGGCGTTAGACTTGATATCAGAGAATGCAATATTTGGACTCAGCGATTGATTCCAATTTAATTATACATACTTCTCTTGGAATTATATTTACAGTTCTGTCCTATAGGAATAATATGTATTGTTGTTGTTTTTATAGCGACAGAATACTGCCGAGTTGACAGTCCTTGGGTGGAAAGAATCCTGGTCTGTTCCGTCTACGTAGACCCGGCTGTCGTGGGAACGGAAATACTAACGGAATACTAATACGGAAGGGGTGCCGACGTAGTACTCAACTCAACTAATATTGAAACAATTTGGCTCCAATATATTCTAATAATTATGATCTGTAGAATTATCTGGAATAGGATTTAGCCTGCGTCGTCTGACACAATTTTGTAATTAGGTATAACACGATCGGTGTCTACCATAGCTAAATGACGGGTGATCCGAGTAGAGGTACTTTTTTCAATAGCCTTTTCTGGCGAATCACGTGTGCGTCGTGTCAGCTGTCATATTACTTTTGTTCCGTATTATTTGGCCCATCTTGAGAACCAATATTCATTACGGGATATTATTCGACCGAGCAGATTACAATCAGCAAGCAGTGCAGAAAATATAGTAGCCGTAACTGAGAGTGTACACGTAGACCACACGTAGATCGTGGAAAGTCGATTTGGCGCCGTTCGCAACAACTGGGGCTGTCTGGAAACACTCGGCACCTTCTAGGCGAGTTATTTAATTGAAAGCGTAAAAACTACAACTTGTACAAGAACTGAAGCGCTTTATCCTTAGCGACATCGCTTCTCTCTATGGACTCTTGAAAACTTCCAAGAAGATCCGACGTTCTCGAACCAAATTTTGTGCATTTTTGGCTCAATATGTATATATTACAAATAAGCCAAATTCCCTCATTATAAATGACGAGATACAAGAGTTTCTGTTTCATCAAGACCAACCATCAACCATCGGCTTTTTAGCGTTTGTGAACCGTCGGATCTTCACAAAATGATACCGGTGCGAACATAACCGTGAATGGTAACTCTTATCGCGCATTGAGAACCGACTATTTGTAGCCTGAATTTGAAGCTAATGATCGCGGTAACATTTAGTTTCAACAAGATAGAACCACTTTTCACACATCGCATCAGTCAATGGATTTATTGAGATAACACTTAGCAGATAGTTTCACGATTTAGGTCGGTCGTTTGGCCACAGAGATGGTGTGATATCAGTCAGATATAAAGCTTAAAGTATATGCGGGTAATCCCGCGTCTCGTCAAGCCTTGGAGCAAAATGTTACGTGTGTCATTCGCCAGTACTAAAAATAGTAATAAAAAAACGGTTAGCCCACCGGAGACGTCGCCGATAACAATTGAAAGAGATAATCTTCAAAAAATAAATGTCAAAAAATATTTTTGATAGAAAGAATGATAAAAAATATCATCCATCCAATATTTGAAGTTTCTGTTTTTTCTGTATAAAGTAGCTAGCCTGGAAATGGATCACTCTTTATAACCTCTTATGCACTTTTTTCCCTTAATGCTACTGCAATATTAAAAGACAAATAATAAGTTTATTTGTTGTAAATATTATTTTAAGTGATTATTTTTTTTTTTAATTTCGTGCTTCATAACAATAAAGTAGATATGCCTTTCAAATACCATGCAAAGTTTCATAAATATATTTTCTATCCTTTCATTTAATATATGCCTGTACGTATTGATTACTATTTCGGGAAAAATTAAATATATTTTTAGAATTAATTAACTAACCTGTACTTCGGTTAGACGTTTACCTGTTTCATAGACTCGTGGACATTGCAGAGTAGCTAGAAATTATTAGAATTAGTTAACCGTRCCGCTGGTATGCTGATCGAGTAGGATAACGGCGCAGAGCTATGGCAGYTGGACGACGCCTGTAAGTAAATCGAGAGCGCAGACGGCCGGGGACTGCTCGGATGAGTGCCAAACGCGCAGGTGCGTACGCAAATGCTGGCGGGACAAAAACGCGAGTCGCCTGTGAGATTAAGGTGGTGGGAATAATAGAAGGAACAGGCAAAGTTGGTGGAAATGGTACTAAAGGCGCAGCTTGTTGGGCTATAGGAACTATAGGTGGCCGCAGCACTGGTGAGGGCGCTGCTAGAGGCACACTTGTATGCGCAACAGGAATACTGTTCAGTGGAACGGCCACGGCTGGCGGATTAACACCGAGAATTGGCGCCACAGCTGGTTCATTTATYGGCTTATTGTGGACCTGGTATATGAATTGGCTGCTAACAGCGCTGGCACTTGGCAGGATCTCCACGTCCGGATCGAGCGGCGCSGTAGCAAGCGGCACAGCGGTCAGCACTTTGGTGAACAAGGAAGCGCAGCAGATGCACAGCGTCAGGAGCTGCAAAGCAATTTAAATGGTTAATAAACAAAAACGAAAGAGGCCGTTAGAGGCCGCCAAGCGGATATATTCACTTTTRGCCACATTTTCTTCACGAGTAGTCCAAGTAGTCCACGTGTTGCACTCTACAATTAGCGATTATCGAAATACTTATCATTTCCCGATAAGCTTTTGCTTTTATATTGGAAATGTATTCTACGGGGGCTTGACATAACTCTTACGGAAAATTCGAAGAAAGCAAAAACAGTGATRACATTTCACTCAAAGCCTTTTTGAGCGTATTTTTTTTTTAGCTAATTTCGCATATTATTGGTTTAGGATTATTTAATGTTGTAAATGAAATTRTCATTTTCACTTTCAACCGCTGTGGTTGGCGTTGGCGTTGACGGGATTGCGACAAATAGCGGCAATGCGCTGACAGCCAAGTGTCAATTAACGCTCGCCACACTACTAACCTACAAAGAATAATTGCCAAGTTTGGCCAGCAGACAACAGCTACCACGCACTCTAAATGCAGCCGCATGCATGAACAATAGAGTGCGCATGCGCAACAGTTTGACGCGGCGGCGCACAGTTACTACTTACCCATTGAAATACCATCAACTTGGTGTAAAAGCATGTATTTGATAAAACACATACTTGTAATGCCTCGATATACATATTTACATATGAATGTAAGTTATAAAAAATTGATATTCTAATCACACTTAGTCACTAAGTCTGCGCGCCAATGAATCAAACAAAGCGCACCAACGACCCGGCGACCGCCACACGTCGCACATGGAATTCCCATYAAACAAACATAGTCGAACGCTTTAAATAATTCGATATATATGCAAGCACTAGATCAGCGTGGCAATACTTGAAAAATATATCTAAATACATACATACATACACATTCCGTCCCTCAATCTTTTGCAAATGAAGCCAGTGTCCAACAAATAAGCAAATGTCCGAAGAATAAGTAAATTTAAGTAAAATACCAGTAATGCGTTGAAGATTTTTTTTACTCGCCGACATTTCGCAAATGTTGACCACGACCCCAACTGTTGAGCGCCAACTGAAGTAGTAAATTTGTTTTCATCAGTTCTTTGATTTTTAAGAAAACTGACACTTTKTTTTCAGAAAACACTCAGACAGTTACAATTTAATGGGGAATGTTTATTATCATTCTATCTATTAATAACAATCTTTGGCATTTATTTTTTTGAAGATTATCTCTTTCAAATATTGGCCGCGGCTACGACAGAGACGGTCCTTCCTTTGYCCAATTTTSGATGATTCGTTTGCGTACTTCGACTGGTAACTGACGAATGACACGCGCGATTTTGTTAGCATGGACTTTAGACTTTATATATCCACAMAAGAAAAAGTCCAACGGTGTGAAATCACCAAACTTCGCCGAGATCACGAGCTTCAATTTTAGGCATCAAATGTTCGGTTATCATCTGACGATAACGGTCGTCATTGAGGATTACTTTCTAACCGGTATCATTTTTGAAGAGTATGGACCGATAGTTTCACTGGCTCACAAACCATACAAAACCGTTATTTTTTCGGGATGATCAGCTCTTGAATCTCTTCAGGTTTCTATTCGCTCCAATATGGCAATTTTGCTTTTTACATACYCATTGAGCCAGAATTGGTCGTCATCGCTGAATAAAACTTGGATCGAAAACATCGGACATTCTTGGAACTTATTAAAAGCCCATAGAGCGAAGTGATGTCGTTTAGGATGGTCGATCGGCTTTAAATCTTGCGCAATCTTATTCGCTTTCAACTTAAGGTCTAAACGTAAAATGCTTTAAGTCGTTCAATACGTCAGTCCGAGTTCTTGCAAACGGCACCGAATCGACTCTCCACGGTCTTAGTGTACACTSTCAGCTATRGTTGCTATATTTTCTCCACTGCGTGCTGGACGTGGTCTATTCGGTYGAAAGGTCGTTAGAAGCTGGGTATATAAGGGGTCCCAGGGAGTAGAACATTGAAATTCCCCACTACTTCGAATCGCATCGTGGAGCCGTTGCCTGGTGATCCCTTTTATGCTCACACACCGGCGAGGGAATTGTGGKCTGAGCAAAAYCCATGGAGRGGAKGTTCAAAACTTGTCAAGTTGGGCATAAYCTCATTAGAAACATCTTGAATGTTTTTCCRTATTACWCGCACAGCGGAATCGCAGGAAACTGCAAAGCCGTTTTGCTTGATTGGAAGCGAGTCGGTTGTTCGATATCTTATTGCGCTCTAAGGCTGGATTTTTGGAGCTCCAGTCAGCTTGGCAAGCGCTGGTTARCAACYAGAACGAGTGCGAGATCTTTCTGGTTCAAAGTGAATTGTACACTGTGCAATAGGTACACACGCGGTATTACCAAAATTTTGTCGCACGCTCTTTGCAAAATCTGTCTGGAGGAAAGCAAGGTGGAAATATCTTGCCCTTTTTTTAATCTTTTGTCCGGCTTTTGAGCTTGAGATTGAAATATCTTGGTAGACACATATTTGACCAGCTTAGCGAAGTGGCTGGGATTGATATTAATCGACTTTATAAATTTGTGATAAGCCCAAAACGCTTCGACGATATCTTTGTCCAAATGAGATCCATAGATTTGTGGAACAATCTTACGACCTACCTAACTGGTTTTTGGCCTCGGCTTGAATGCCATTCACCGAATTTTGGTTTCCTCGGTTTGATGAAAATAAGGACTTCCACTGAGTCGTAAAGCATCTATTTTGTGATCTCTCCTCGACGATCAAACGATTCAGGTCTTTTGGTRAAAGTTACGCTTTGACATGTTGCATACCGAAAACAGTAACCAATATGCAGTGAGTCGATTTATTTGTCAAGAACCTCTGCTATCTCTATGATTACGAACATGGCAATTTAAAGCATAGTTTCTCTAGCTTTTTCTTTGTTATCGTATTACTAAGCCTGGATGGACGTGGCAAGGTTTCCATGACTTTCCGACCGTTTTTTGCCACTCAAATATTTGTGTTTGTCTTAAAGTGGATTCGCCGAATTATTTTTCAACATTTTCAACGGTTTAATTTCAAACAGAACTCTTTATTTTGGAAGACAGTCCAGACAAACTTGATCACATAGTATAYACATAGCACATATGTATATACATWTATATGTACATAGCACATAGATCTGCCAGCTTTGAAAGTTTTAAGTTTTAAATTGTTGCTTCAACAGAAATATTTCTCGACTCTTCTCTTAATCAGTTCATGAATTCGCCGTGATAAACTCTTTTCGTCTGTATTCTATTGCATACATACACCAATGTATATAATGTAAATATATKTGGAAGTACATTAATAAGTATATACTTCAATTTTCAAACGCTTATAACTGGATATTGACGTGCAGACGAAAACACGAATGCCTATATGTATATACAGGTATATATATATGTAGTGTATAAATATAATAGATATCTACTAACTGAAAACTAACTTCTTGCTATAAACATTCCTTGATAATTTGCCAACGGCGTATAACGACGGCAAGTCCTTGAATGGCAGTAAACTGAGCACTTTTGTATTGTTTTGCAATGGAACGCAATTTGTAGAGCTATACACACCGCGATATATACTCCTAAGCTCGGCATGTGTATGTATAAGCGAGTAACCGCACCGCACAAAAGCCATACAACCGACCATACCGTCACTCAAAGTGCTACGGTTTTGACAAATTGATGTCGCAGACGACGAACATTTGCATTAAGAAGTTAACAAAAGTTGGCAAAGCGTTCAACCAACCTCACCAGTGGCRTGGCAAGAGGTAAAGAGCCAGGCGTAGAATAGGTGGCRGTAGCAGTAGCAGAATATGCCAGAAGGAGGGGAACACGCTCTAAGTAATGCGGCATGATGTGCAATGAGCGCTAACCACCGGCTCCACCCTATAAAATGCGAGCGATCCACTGTAGTGGAATGCATTCTATGCACGACTCAGCGCACCATCGTTGATTAAAAGCGGCAAACTCAAGAATTCGCCACGAATAAGAAGCAATATAGTAAGGAAGAAGCCAAACAGAACAAGGAGCGAAACCAATAGCAAAAACAAGAACAAAAACCAAAACCAAATAAAAGACCCATCAAATATTACTCAGGATGTCGAAACTCGTAAGTGGTTGATTGAATTGAGGAAAGGACTTTTTATTTGCGCACAGTTATGTATTGACTTTCCTACATTCTTCTAGTTGTCGTTGTTGTTGTTGCTGGTGATTGCTCTGAGTGCTAGCTGCGTGACAGCTAAGCCCGACCAAGTGGCCGTAGCTGCGCCTGTTGCTGCTGCTCCAGTTGTTGCTGCTGCYCCGGTTATTGCTGCCGCCCCATACACTGCCGCAGCCGCAGCCGCACCGCCCTATRCCGCTGCCTATRGTGCGCCCTACGCYGCATATTCAGCACCCTACGCGGCATACACTTCAGCGTACGCTGCACCCTACTCAGCGGCATACACTGYCGCCTACACGAACGCTCCATTCAACTCTGCGGTCGCCAGCCAACGCGTGGATATACAAAGCAATTACTACGCAACACCACTGATAGCTGCTGCGGCACCTGCCAAGTTGGTCGCACCACCTGCTCCCATTGCTGCGGCAGTTCCGGCTCCTGCTCCTGCCCGTTTTGTTGCGCCGGCCGCCGCCTACCCTGCCGCCGTGTCAGCGGCTTACACAGCTCCTTATGCCCCCATTGCCGCAAACGGTGTGCCAGCCGCTTATACTGCTCCTTACATCGCTCCATCCGTCGCTGCCGTAGCTCCAGCTAACTATGTCGCTCATGCGGCTGCGGCTGTGGCTCCAGCTCCAGCTCGTTACGTTGCCCCCGCCGCTCCGGTAATAGGTGCCCCAGTTGCTGCTGGCCCAGCCAAGCTGGTTGCACCAAGTGTTGTTGTCTGAGCCRATCCACTCGTATGTGCGTTGCTAAAACCGATAAATTCATACATATCTGATGACGAATACGTGAATTCTCTTCTCTAACTCTAAGTTGACACCTGTTAACCTTACCCATCATTGTTTTTATTGTGTTTGCTTTTGTTTTTATGCGGGAGTATTCATTATTAATATTGCAAGTACCTGAATAAAAGGAAGAAATGTGCTCTTAAATGTGCCAGCAAATTGTTTAAGTACCAGCCACACACCTACACACATACGGGCACTCACACAAATGCGGGTTTCCATTGCTGAAAGGTTGCTCTTATCAAACCGATTTAAAATGGGGTAGTCTTGGGTGTAGTGTTAGGCGATAAGTTTATGGAACTTTAATACCAAATGAAGAGAGAAGTGTACAACAGAACGTCTCCACTAGTTCAAGTCGAAGTCGGGTAATCTGCGCATAATTTTAGCTCTAGAATCGAGACCCCTTATCGATGCTGCGGCTTTAATCAGTACCTGTTCGATGTATTAAGTATTCTCACAGATTGTTCGAGGCAGATATATCTAATTTTTACCAGTGGTTCATTATACCAAGACTGGCGAATTAATTGACAGAGAGAGATTTATTAGAATAAGTCCGGCGAATTAATTGACAAGGAGAGATTTATTAGAATAAGTCCGGCGAGTTAATTGAGAAAGAGCGACAGATGGAGTGAGTATATGAAAAAGTGCCAGGCATCTGTGAGCTTGGAAAATATACGATTTACTGCTGGGTGTGCACATTCGTGGTTCAGAATGCGAGTGTCTTGTAAGGAATGCGATGAAATTCTTCAGTTCCTTTTATTTTGAGTGTGGTATTGTCATAAGCTAAGAGAAATTGAAATGCGAACGTGAATTTATGGTCACTTCACCTAGCAAGAGCTTCTCGAACGTCGATATGACTAAAGACTTATGTTCACTCGTGTGTTAGTACCTTAGAAGGAACAGCGAAATTATATTTSGATCTAACAGCGCAAACGTGGGCTGCACTGTGCGATATTGGTTTGTTAGTTTGACCAAAAATTTTAATAGATATGGAAAAAATATTTAATAAAATATTTATGTATAATTATCTACTTCTTCTTCTCCTTTGTTGGCGTAGACACCGCTTACGCGGTTAAAGCCTAGTTAGTCCGTTTCTTGTTTTAGAAATTTGGCGCCAATTCGAGATACCAAGTGCAAAAACGTCCTCTTCCACCTGATCTCTCTAACTGAGTGGAKGTCTTCCTCTTCCTCTGTTTCCTCCGGCATTTATCAAAAGGGGGGTCTATCATCCGAGGCTGTTGTTTCGTTTTCATTAAAGGCGCTTTTTACGAGACGGGTTCCAAAACAAGCGCACAGCCCTGTGAAGGGATGGCCTTCTCACTTTACCTTGCTTTCAAACGAATGTTCTTTGGCTACCAAAATGATACTTGGTCTAAGATCGGAATTCGCTGCTTGAGCTATGTGTTAAGGAATCGATTCTGGCTCTTTCATCTCCTAAGTAAATGGCGCTCAAAGAACTTTCGATACTTGCGTGAACTTCTACACATGACTCCATCCTTCATAAATATCTATAATATCATGTTACTGAGTTTCTTAAGATTTCGGAAATTGTGTYCAGTACCGACCAAGCTTTTCAATGAAGCACAAATATAGGGAGAGAAGTGAAAAATCATTACCGTCGTTCTACAATTCAAGCAAACTAAAAGTACTAACTAGTTCGTAATGTCAAAATCTTAACTTTTTATCGGAACCATGTAGAGCCTATGAGATCTGAAGTGATTGCGAAACAATAAGTCATCGTTCTGTGAAACTTCTCGTCACAAAGMGGTCTGCGCTGTGCCATACCTTTAGGTGGGTATTTGCTGACTTTCTATCTTGTTTCGACGCCGAATCCATTCGCCTTCCTTATTTGTAGGAGTGCAGACCACGTGAGCAACCATATGTGATGCGGCCGACGCTTTTGGTTTTGCAAAACTCAATTTAATTTTGCTTTATGCTCAACAATTACTCCGCAAAAGTTAGTTGCTCATGTTTTGTATTTTACTATTTTATAGTGTTAAATCAAATTACGAACCGGCAAATTAATTTAAATACTTCCTAATTAACTTTTATTACGATTACTTTGTCTATCGACAACAAGCCGCACATATACTAAAATATTATATAAATACTATGAGAGTRTGTGTRTGCGTTTAGTGCGAGTTACTAGGCAACTTCAGTTGTGGCACAGTTTGGCTGAGAGTTYGCGGGCGCATCGGCGCTGACGCAGCATAATGGAGATGAGCTGTTGGCGCGACTGAGGGTGTGGCAGCCCGCACCGGAGCAGCAGCTTTCCGTTATGGTTGCGCGCAATCGCTTGGCTGCTGTTGGCTGTAATGACGGCGCTGGTGCAGCAACAAAGGYCAGCGGTGCGTGCAGATTGCCGAGCGTGGTCATGACGTTGGCAACGATGGCAACACTGACAATAGCCRGAAWTAATTTGATATCAATTAACACGAAAAGTGAATGTTTCTGGGCGTTGTCGCATAAGCAGCTTACTTATTTGAACATTCTTGGAGATTGATGATSTAAGTTYAATGGCTACTGCTGCTGCTTCGAGGGCTCCCAARGTTGCCAATTGCAAAGGAAAGCCAATTGCGTTTCGAAAATAGCAAGAGGCTACCAATTTGTATCGCCTAAACGTGTTTGCTCTCTTTGAATTGTTAAACTCCCGCTTGTGAATAGCGTAAGGCGGTTGTGTTGTACAACTTTATATTAATGTGCATTGTTGTTGCTTTACGTACGGTTCTCGTAACTGACCCTTGTTAACAAATTTAGTCGCTCGAGTTTTTTSTATTTTCTAATTTATATTTTTTTTAGCTTTCTGTTGTTGTCAAACATAAACTTTGTCGGCAACGTTATTTGCATACGAAATGTGAAATGAAGAGCGAGCGACTCGCTTTTACATCATAAAACCTGACAGACATTTTTCGCGAGCATGTGCTCTGAATTTTTAATTAGTTTTAAAGTTTGTGCAAACACTCAAAAAGTACATTAATCGCAGACTTTCCGTTGCAGCTGCAACTAAAGAGAATTTCTGCAAAGGTCAATTGTTAATTAATGTCGGAATTAGTCTCCTTCTATAATAATAAATGACGGCACTGCTGGCGAGGATACTTACGAATTCCTTTAGTGTTAGAGGACTCTTTTAGGCGCATGCAGAAGAAGATATCTTGTTTGGAAGAACGMCATATGGGATTAGCAAGGACCTTGTGTACGTATTTGCTATGGATTGTTTTCTCAAYATTTTRCTTTATAGTTAYGGATGCCTGTAGCTCTTTGCAGGAGTGTGTTTTCAATCAAAAATTGAAAATTTYTATATCTTTAAACTCAGTTTTGGAGCCAAATCGAAAATCACGTGCAGCCAGGTCGTTCTTCACTTGATCTCTCCAACGGAGTGGAGGTCTTCCTTTTCCACTGCTTCCACCAACCAGTATTGAATCGAAAATCTTCAAAGCTGGAGTGTTCTCTTCCATTCGGACTGCATGTCCYWGCCAGCGGTTGATGATTCGCTGAACTATATCAATGGCATCGTATATCTCGTACAGCTCATCGTTCCATCGACTGCGGTACTCGTTGTTGCCAATGCGCAAGGGACCATAAATCTTCCACAAAATTTTTTTCTCGACCACTTCTAAGTCAATTGTACATGCCTTCGCACCATATAGCAAGACGGGTATTATGAGGGACTTGTAGAGTTTGGTGTTTGTTCGTCGGGAGCATATCTTTGCATCGACTATCGACAGTATTCGCTTTTGCGCAAGCGATCAAAAATCTTCCGCAAAACCTATTTCATTAAGACTTCAAAGGCCAACTCATCAGATGAAGTCATTATCCTTGCCTCCGCACCATATAGCCGGACGGGAACGATGAGGAACTTGTAAAATTTGGCCTTTGTTCGACGGGAGAGCAGCTTATTTCTACTTAGTCCATAGAAGCACCTGTCGGCAAGAGTGATTCGATGACATTAATCATATTGAAAAACATTCCCGATCTATTGATGGATATTTCTAGGGTTCAGTTACTCCAGTTTCCAGATTCCAACGTAATTTTTCATTTAATTTTTTACTTTGTGCATTGTTTTGTTTTGAAAATAAGTGGATTGAGACAGTAAAAAATTCGGTTAGAAATATTTAAAGAGCCCTCACCATGATTTGCGGTATACTGTACTTGAAACCCAYAAAAGAAAATGTCTAACCTCATAATATTGACTTGTAACTAGATATTATATTTATATGATATTAGAGGAATTATTTTAAAAACAAACTGTAATGCCTTTTCCCATTTGGAACACACATTTAATGACATAGTTTCTAAGATCATGATAGTTATAAGACTTCGTTGTTGCCTGCTGTTTTTACGATTTCCCGCCAAAGTGCTCAATAATGCTTTTGAATTKTTCGCTTTTTTCTTCATTTCGTTAAATGTAGATGTTTCGAAACACGCTCTGTGGGTGGGTCTTGAGACAGCCGAAGTACTTAGTAAAACGTAAATTTGCATTTGTTTCGCCTCTTCGCATTAATATGTATATTTTCAGTGGCAGTCGTGCATGAATTTTCACTTGTGCTCTGTCCTCTTTCTGGTTTTATGAAAATTCTCTTATTCCGCCAATAAATATTTCAGAAAGTACACAGAGGAACACCTACATCAGCATCCTCAATGAGATTCACATCCGCAGCCACTACCATTTCCGCTAATGTGCTTATGTATACGAAAGCACAAATTATGCGCGTACATATTTGGAGCCGTACGGAGGTGCGTTAGGGTGTGACTATAAGAATTTGTGCACCAATAAGTAAACGTGACCTTTTCTTCTTCATTGAGAATGCCTGCAAGATTGAATAAATGCTTTTTACTTTAGAAAGGAAGTGAGGAAGATCGTCAGGCTTTGGATTGCAACGAAACTTTCAGGAATAATTTCAAGAATAATTATGGTTCGTCGYTGAAAAATAGGTTGAAGTTTTGTAGCATTATGATATGAGTTGAAATGGTTTGGTTACTTTCAAGCACGGTTCCTCTTTAGACCTGGTACCTAATAATATTTATTTGCATTGAAACTTATGTAGAGATCAGAAAGGGAGCACATAGGTACAGAAGAGCAGGTTAACCATGTAGGTCTCTGCAATATGTACACAAGAGCAGTGAGAGCTGTCAAACCTCTCTTAATGACCGCCAGTGCCAAGTGCTTTGATGGCGTGACCATAAAACTCAAAGCAGTTTTCTTGGGCGTAGAAAGGGATCACCACAATGCCTGCATATAAGTGTACGAGTATATATTTGAGTGCGCCTAATATCTAAGAGATGTGTATAAGAGACAGGTGTACAACAGAACGTCTCCACTAGTTCAAGTCGAAGTCGGGTAATCTGCGCATAATTTTAGCTCTAGAATCGAGACCCCTTATCTGCTGCTGCTGCTGCGGCTTTAATCAGTACCTGTTCGATGTATTAAGTATTCTCACAGATTGTTCGAGGCAGATATATCTAATTTTTACCAGTGGTTCATTATANCTTGTCTACTTTCTATTCGTGTAATTTATTTAAAGCCAAGTCAGTAAAGCATTTTTCTCGCAGTCACTTGCACTTGAGGCGGTATTATCCGACTTAAGCAAGCCCCGACGATTGCAGCAATAAATGCAGTGCTCTCGCTAGTCAAGTAGAAGTGGCGGCGACTCCCACTAGGCGCTGCTGCTGCTGCTGCACAAAACTGGAGTAGATTTGTATTGGGAACGTTCTAGGCACATAAATTCCAGGAGGCACCATTAAGCACAAACAAATGACTTCGGAAGTGGAGTGCGAAAGAGTGCGGAAAAGGCACGGAAGAAGTGCAAAGGAAATGGCAGTGGCGAGGGGAGAATACGAGAACATCGTACCTACATTATGGATTATGTACAAGTCAGAAAGCTGCAGCAGAAGCGCACACAGCAAGCTTAGCGGGTAGCAACTCGACAACAAAGCAAATCATACAACCATAAACACACCCAAACACACACATACAGCTGTCTATGTGTGTATCTAGGAGCACACAGTCATAGTATTGTTGCGTAGCCACCTGCGATGCGCTGCGCAGTTTTGCTGCCATTACACAGAATAGGAATACCTGAGAAGGTTTAAAGCAGTTACTTTTGTAGTGGATTATTCTACTTTTTTAAGTTTTTTAAGTTCTCGACTCGTGTTGCCTCAAAGAGAAATATGGCATATTACAAGGGGGCCAACTGAAGTTGCTGCATTAAAGTTGAACTTSTGTGCGTGCGCGCGAGCACTGCGGGCGTTTGGGCGGGCGGGCGGTCTTTCATGTAGCCACTATTTATCGCAGTCATTTGGAGAATAAATAGGTTGGTGAAAATGCTTTTTGATGCCAGCAAAAAAGGAGTACTGCAACACAATGGTGCAACATAAATAAATAAAGGACTGCAGAGCGACTTTTGTATAGACTATGCTGTTTTATTACTATTTTTAATTGTTTGTTATCTTTTCTTAAATTAATTTAAGCAAAATGAGTCGTCGTCGTGTTGTTACCATAGCGCTGGTGCGGCTGCGTAGTGCAGAGGCGCCGCGTAGGAGGGAGCGTACGCCAAAGGAGCGGGTGCAGCGAGGGGGGCTGTGTACGCGAGCGGAGCAGCTGCGTAGCGGGCGAGTGGGGCGGCAGCGTAGCGAGCGACTGGTGCAATGGGTGCGGCGAGCGGTGCGGCAGCGTAGCGGACCAACGGTGAAATCGGTGCAATTGGGGCGGCYAAAGGCGCAGCCGCTAGAGGGGCAGCGGCAACAATTGGTGCGGCGGCAATGCCATTGTGGGTTCTTGCAACAACCTGGCTGCTGGTGGCCGTGATGATCGGTGCTGGTGCGGCGAGGGCGAGCGGTGCGGCGGCCAGTGGGGCGTGCAAGAGACCGGGCTTGGCGGCAGTGCAGGCAATGACAGCCAGGATAACAATSACCTGAAATTATTGTGAGTAATCCAAAATTAATTCGATGCACACCAGGGGCTATGCGGTTAAACTTACGTGCTTGAACATTTTGCTTGAGTGATATTTCTTAAGTTGCTTGTGTGAAGACAAGTTGACTTATGATGCCCATCAGTTAACGGTTTCGGCTTTTTATACCCATTCTTCGGCGGTTAAAACACCTGCTATTTTACACACACACACACACACACACAATACACAAGACACAAGAGACCCAAGGCACTGACCACGCACAACACGAAAGACATTCTGGTGCTTCCATGCGCCATKGGGTCTTCGGGGTCGCTTATAAATGCGTGGCACGTACGCGCCGCTTTTACGCCCRTGCGCACTGCTGCGTTAGGGCATTGTAAGTTTTTTAAGGCTGTTTGCAGTCACACACAAATATATGCATGTATGTGTGGTAAGCGAATGCGTAGAATTTGGACGTTTTTTCCCTTTTGTTAAGCGTTTCCATAGTTATAAATATTCACGTAGGTCTTGTTATTGTTGCCTCSACAAGGGCAAAGTTCCATCGGCTTTTAGCAATGCTGAATGAATTTCATAATTTTCGGGCAATATTTCATTGAGTCGAGTGGGGATAGTCGCGAGCCATTAGTCATAACAGTAATAATCGTGTTTTGGGCGTTAAAACTGCATGAGTCGCCGTTTTTGAGCAGTTGGGATATGTATGTAGTCACTAGTATTGGCTTTAGCTTAATGAAAGAAAAATATATGAAAAAAAAATCTTAACTGCGGATGCACCGACGCTATTATACCCTTCACAAGCACCAAAGGTTCCTTACTTGATTCCGATCGCTCAGATTGTATGTGCTATAGTAATCTGATCTGTTCAATTTCTTCCGAGCTATCATTGCTTTAGATAATGATCYGAGCCAAACTTCCTGGAGATGCCTTGTGAAATGAAAAATTTTTACATACAAATACTCGATTCCGATTGTTTAGTTTGTATGGGAGCTAGATATGCTATGGTAGTTCGATTTCGATTTCATCGAATGAGCAGCTCYTTGATGAKATAAGCACAGGTGCAAAATTTAAGATCGRTATCTTAATAATTGAGGAACCAGTTCATTCGAGGGCAAAACGAAATATATCGTGTCATCAAACAAACAGTCGTCGTACACGCAACTTGGCTCCCACGGTCATAACACGGTCATAACATAGAAGTCGAAGAAGAATAACATAGTTCCGCATATCTGGAATTAGAATTAACACCAACAAAAATTTCAGTTTCGAAATCCAACGCAGAATAACTCTTGCCAACAGATGCTAATGCGGACTGAGTAGCCAATTGAGAAGCAAAGTCCTCTCTCGACAAACAAAAACCAAATTCTACAAGTCAGTCATCTCCCTATCCTGCTATATGCTATAGAGGCATGGTCGATGACAACATCTGATAAGTCGGCGTTATGWGTTTTCGAGAGAAAATATATTGAGCTGTAGGAGATATACGACGACATTGACATAGTYCAGCGAATTAAAAGACAGCGGCTACGTCGGCTAGRTCATGTCGTCCGGATGGACGAAAACACTACAGCTCTGGAAGTATTCGAAGCAGTACCCACCGGGGGAAGCAAGGGAAGAAGATGACATCCACTAACTCCCTACAGTTACACCAGCTAGGCCATGTCAGTGTATATAAATCTTTGAAAATATCTAAAGCTACATCAGCTGGTGATGACTGAATAAGAGGAAAACCTAATTGGAAGATAAATTYGATTGAAATGGTGAGCCAATTAAGCAACATTAATTAATTAATTAGCAAGATAAAAAATTACACAAAATTCGTTTTAAATATTATATTTGTTTAGATTTATATATTTAGCAGTCATTCATAAAAGGTTTTCGAGAGAAAATATCACTAAATTACCACAGAGATGGCGCGGCTGCGGGTGGTGCTACTGGAGCGACTCTAGCAACAAGTTTAGCAGGTGCAGCGGCAAAAGTGGCTGGGACTACTGCTGATCCGTAGTTCTGTTGGATGTCAAGACGCTTGCTGGCATAAGCGGCATCCAGAGG